AGGACCCCGAGGGGGACAGGGGACCGTGTCGGACGAAGCACCGGGGACTCGGACAACGGCCGAGAGAAGTAGCGCGAGCCGTTGGGGGAAACGGGCGGCAGGGGACTGAGCCCGCACAGGGCTCCGCGTCCTGGGGCCGGGGCGGAGGGCCGCCCGCACGTCACCCTTTTAGGGGGTGTTCTTCACCCCACCTCCCGTCCAGCCTTAACCAAGAAGATAAAAGAAATAAATACACATTCATCTGTATGTGTACAGTCTTTCCCCTGCAGTGTCTTCTCCCTGGAAACCCAGTTTGCAGGAATTTTGATTTTGGTGCTATTTAGACAAAAGGAGAGAAAAGCTCAGCCTCTGAGTGCAGCGCTGGCTTTCCAGGCCAGCGGGAGGCCCGGCCCCCTCCTCGTGAACAGCGTGGGAAGGCAGAAGGTCGTGGAGGCGCTGAAGCACTGAAGCCGGGCTGCAGACACCCAGGCACCGGCCCGGCGCGGGACGCTTCGGCCGGGAGTGGAGCCGAGCGCGGGCCAGCGGAGGCTTCGTGCTCAGCGGAGCCCAGCAACCCCGCATTCCTGGAAGGAGGGACGTGCCTCATGCCAGGGTTCACAACCTGCTTTCCCTTTTCCGTTTCTCCCTTCTTTCCAAACCCTCCCCGAAGAAAGGACCCCTCGCGAAGGGTCCTTATTTCCAAAAGAAATAAGAAGCTGCTTAGATTCTCCAAGTTTGCTTAAATTGGATGGAGAAGAGCAATCTAGATGGCTTTAGCAAATGTCTCTGTTGGCAAATGTCAGGAGCCTTTTCCTCTAGACTCTCTCCACAGCATCAGCTTTGCACGACGGAAGATGATTGGGAAGCAAGAGTGGATTGTTGGGAGGTGCAAACCTTCAGGGTAATGACATAAGGTTTTCTATTAAAGGGGGACTGCCAGTTACCCTAATTGCCCTAGCGTGGGGTGCTGGATCATTGGCTGGGGAAAGCCCCAGGCTGGGCCTTTGCCCCTCAGGGCTGAGCCAAGGCTCCAAACTCTGGGACCACTCTTAGAAAGACCATTAAAAATGATCTCACTTTAACATTGACATTCTAACTCTAGCAACACGTTAAGCAAAAGCTCCTAACTTGGTCTGTGGGACTCATTCCTTGGTTGCTGGAAAAATCTGGAAGGTCATGTACTTTTCCTCTCAGGGGGCTATCACCATTCAGGGAAGCCTGTATCACGTAAAGGGGAAAATACCACTCTAACGGTCTCCCAAGGGAATGCCAGTGGTTGAGGGCCTCCACCTCCACCACCAGGTCTGTAGCCCCTGAGCTATAACAGTAACCACAGAACAATGGCCATAATAGATAAGCCCTTGGAAGACAGAGTATTTATTTATACTGTTGCGGTGTAACTCGGTTTTGAATACATTCTGTAAGGAAAACAAGGCCATAAGAATAGCAGAACAAGAAGTGAAAAGGAACAGAATAGTAAGTTGATGTAAATAAAGTCAGCTCCAACTCCCTTCCAGAGGAGGGATGCAGCGCTGGCCTCGCCTCGTGGTAAATCATTTGTTCACCCCCAGTGTTTCTTGAGAAGCTGGAGGGCTGTTGGCAGGAACATGACCCATTTTCAGTTCCACACCATAAATGTGGTAACATGATCTGATTATGCTTAGGCAATATTTAAAAATATTCCAGTACAAATTAATGTATTATTACTTAATTTTGAATTTAAGCAAATGTGTTTA